TTAGACGTAGAAAGGTTAAGTGTATGTGTTATATCCTGTCCGTCTCTTGCAATCAAATGTGTTAATGTGTGGTTGTTGTAAGAAAATTATGATCAATTTTTTTTTTTAAAAAATAAATACTTATAGTTCACACTGCAACTACTTTATAAGATGTTGATTTCCAGACTTATGTTCTAACTTCTTCTTAGATAACGTGAAATTGAACCAATATTTTTTCATAGATTATTTATGCCTCCTATCTTATGAAAATCTAATAATAATAGATGAATGAATAGTCATTCAATGAAGGAAAAATCATTTTATTATTCAGCTATACACCTTTATAATGAAAATGAAGGAAGTAAAAGGCCGGCATCCATCTTCCTAGTATCCTTATTGGTTGTTTGTCTTTTCTTTTAGGTCGAATAGGGGAGGTCCAAGATTCACCTAATGACTCACTAATAGTGATACACATTCCCAGTGCTCGATAGCTCATCGGTATTTTAGGAGCCCTATTGAGCTGCGCAATCACGCTTATTTTGTCATACCACCAATCCAAGCGATTAGATTGAATGAAGTGTTGTGGTGTGGTGTGGTTGTCGTGCGTGCCAATGGCCTTTCAACCACATGAGCAAACACAAGTAGGCTTGCCATAAAAAAATTTGTAAAGTTTAAATTCACTAAGACTACTACAAGCTATAAGGAAATAGTGATGCCAACAAATGGAAAAAAATATATAACTAAATCAATTAAATTTTGATATGTGAGAAGTAGGATTAATGGACAGGGACTAAGATTTAGATTGTTCAATGTGGCTTTGAGTGATACAATGAATTGTAAATTATATTCTAATGAATGACAACTTAAAACTTAGGTTTTAAATTACATATTAAGTAATCTATCATAATCACATAAGAAGGAAAATCAGAATTTTATCAATTAGATTTAAATAAAAAATACTTGCAGCAAGTTATTACATCATTTTGATTATATTACCTAAATAAGTTTTTTCTTTTAATGAAATGTAATAATAAAATGATTTTGTAGGGCCTCATAAAGTTCAATAAGTTGTTTCCTAGCATCTCAAATCTCAACAAAGTAAGCTTGAGATTAGGTACTGTTTTGGAAATCAAAAAATTAAAAAATTAATTAAGCCTTGTTGTTTAGGAAATCAGATAATGTAAAAAAATTAATAAGTGTCACTCGAAGCAATAATAGGCGTGCCGGATGTGAAGATCATTTTATCGTCGCCCGGTTCTCACTAATCCAAATCGGTTCGTTGGCTCAGCACGAATCAGTTCACTGGTTCACCGATTGAACTAACCGTTCGAGACGGTTTGGAATGGTTTGATGCTAAAGTGGTCCAATTAGATGTTCGGAAATGCATATCTTTGATGCAGAGCAACGACAACTCTCTATTCTTTTTTTCTTTTATACATGAGGAAATGTGAGTCTTCCAGTTCTCTCTACTTTTTTTCCTTTTATAAATGAGGGGGCAATTAAATATAAAATAATGACTATAGTGCTTCTAGCTTCATCGGCAAACTTACTCTAACATCCTTGATGGGAAGGATTTAATGTACACAAGTGTTATACCTGGTGCGTAACACAAGAGCTATACCTTGATGGGAAGGCTTTAATGTACACAAGAGCTATATCTGGTGCGCAACCCAATGTTGGCAATATTATGGTTGTCCTGTAGGCTTGGGATATGAGCTTGGTCTTGAAAATTGGATGACCCATTAAATGTTGAACTGTCAAATATTTCTTGATTCAAACTTATTTTATCTACTTCAGCTAGCATGCCTGGTTCGACAACTTCGACGGGCAAGCCTCGTTTGGCCACTTTTGCTGGCGGGCCTGGGTCGGCCAAATATGAGTGGGGAGGCCG